ACTTCGTCCGAGGCCCTCATTTGAGATCATCTGATCTGAAGGGGGGTTTACTACGGGCCATAGTGAAAGAGAATTTGCATCCTGTGTGATCACTCCATGTGAGCAGCTGCATCAATTCATTTGTATCATACATGACTGAGAAGTATTTTCCTCCATGTTCTTATTCTTACTAGTTTTGAAATACTTTTAATTCGCATAATGAATGGAATGATAACTATTGAGCAAGGTATTGCTCAGTCTGACGCGAGCTTAAGGTACACCTATATGCTTTCCTACTTTCTTTGTCTTTATATGGTAACTTTTTCGTAACCTCAGGATTTTTGTATTGTTGACTGCTTCCATAGCTGATAAATTTAGATCAGAATTGTTCGATGTCCTTCATCATGAATTATTAGAAACAGAGACAGGCTCACTCCATTTGTGAGCTGTCCTCGATTGAAGACAGTACGACCATGCCGAAAGAGCATGGTACACTGCATTGACTAGTGAGAATGCTTGTCTCTTAAATAAAAATGGGACTGTTTATTAGGTGCTTATTTGTATGCAAATCGACACATTCGACTGACACCCAATGGGCTTAATTTGAAAAGGGGAGGAGAAATGTATGCGGCTCTGAACATTGAGCGTAGCTGTTTCTAGAGCAAGTTGAAAGCTTGTTGTTTCTAGTTTGGATCTACGACGGATACGATCTTTCATCTGTTGTTAATATGTAAGCATACTATCAGCTCAACAGACGCAAATGTAAACCTAAGGTCCTTTAAAGTTTTTAGCTTGCGTGCATTTTTCACAGATCTTACTCAGGGCCTTTGAAGCGCAAACAACCTATCAATAAAGGCAGAAATTTTTATTATTATTTGATATTGTTTTTGAAATAAAGTCAAGTGTGAGCTGGAGATCAGTTGTTAACGACTGTTTTCGGAACGCAGCCCGTTACAATATCACAATTTCAAAGTTTGCATGGGGTAAACCTACGTAGAAGAAATTTAATGAAAAAAGTATTAAGAAAGTGAAAGATCCTCTGCTTAAAACTTTGCATAGTTTGCAGGCAAGACGACATCAACTTGTATAACTTTCGGAGACTCTATCCGCATACGGAAGGCGTTTTATGATCGTCTTCAGTTTAGTTATGCGTACCTTAGAAGCTACGAAGTTAAGCTCTTGGTAATCAGAGCATATAATACGATCAAAGTGAAAGAGCAAACGAGCAGAAATGAGATATTCGCTATTTGTTCCCTACACGATAACGCAAAAGATGTCTCAATCTCGTACGGCAAGGTATCATTGCCAGCACATCACGACGAATTTCTTTCGAAAACATTATATAGTATATCTAAAGAGAGTTCCATTAATTGAATCTTGGAATGGAACCTTTTCTAAATGATACAACTTACTGGAGTAAGTCCGACGGAGATAGGTCTTGTGATGAAGTTCATGTTCGCGTTGAATTTCGCATCACCAAGATGAAGATATTTGAATCCAATCCAGAATGTTCCATAAAGATAGATCAACTCGCTGAGAAAAGTCAATAGCGATTGCCCGAGGAAACGCCGCTCACTTTGAATTATGTACATCTGATGAGAGCCAGATTTCTGAAAGAAGGAACTAAACGAATGAAACTTTTTGCATCATGCAATAAATAAAACACTTTTTTTGCAGTACATAATCACCATACCGTCTTCATTACAGCCACTGTGGCAACATATAACAGGAATGTCGCTGATAATTCAATGATTAGCAGCGGAATACGGGTGAAGTTGAATGGAAACAGAAGCTCATCTTGGTACTT